GGCTTCCATGGCCTCGGTGGCTCGTTGGATGGCAGACATCCTTTCCTCGGTATGTCCAAAGCGCTTGGATGATATCGTTGGTGGAGTCTTGGAACCAACTGGGGTTGGTAATGTTGGAGTAATGGGACGTTCAGATGTGTCGATCACAAGGGAAGCTGTAGAATCGTCCGCCATGATGGGTGTTGTGACAAAAGGCAGTGGGAGGTGACGACTTGGGCGGTGATTTTATGATCGGGTAACGTTGTTGGCGTGAAGTACCAAGGTGACGGACATGTGACGTTAAGTAAAGCAGAGGACAGCAGTTCGCAAAGTCGACGCCAATGTCGGTGGTGAGAGTTGTTGATGGCCTCCGCAACCGCGACCCGTTTGCTGTTTTGTCGCCCTGAACCAATTGTCTATCTGCGCGGGATCGCAAAAGAGGGGGTCGTGGTCCAACTAAATACAGAGCATCGTGAGGTAGATCCAGGGCAGAGTACTGCAGATGGTGAATGTCGTAGATGTCAATGTGTCGTGAGTGAGGCAGGGGACTGTAGTGAAATTGAGATGCGCAATCTGTGATGGACTTTGACATGAGGATGAATGCGGACAACCAGGGAATCAGGGACAAGGACTTGCGTGACTGGCCACTCGCAGCTCCCGCCGCTTCTGGAGCTTGCCAAGCGACTGACACCCCCGAGCGCGTTGCCTAGATCGGGTTTTAACTGGGCTCGATGCCATTTAATGGGGGGCTTTTGCGGGTAGGCATACCTATTGCCTGGTGCTAGGGGTGCTTTCGCAACGGACCACCCCCCAGTCTACTCACTATACGGCCCAGGTACACGGGCAAACGGGCCAGAGGATTTTGTATGGGGAATCTCTCGTATAGGTCACTATACCGTTGGACTCCAACGAATTGCCTCGATTATACATGCACACACCTCCATGCCAAGTACATGAATTCAGCAGTTTCCATTCACCCCTATGAAGCTACCTATGTATGTACTCCATAGGTACCTGGGCATTGCAGCAAGGGGGAAGAGAAACCTCTACTCCTGCGACTAGCTTCCTGCAGGACAATCCTCGACCAAAAGCACTTTACGCGGCCACAACATTGACCCTGCACGAGATGTCAACAATCGCGTCTCTTTGTGATCAGGCGGCAAGGAGAGCACAAGACTTAGTTTGACAGTGTCATCATTGTTGTCATTGGCATTCATTGTATCATGGTCTCGGAGTCGCCCCTTGGGATCCGATCCTTCTTGTCGCCTTCCAAGTGGCTTCTCCCTGTTTGAGAATCCCTTGCGGGCACGAGATTGATTCGACCAGAGCCGTGTTTCAGGTGGATAAGAAATCCCCTAAGCTGGACCTGGCTCACTTCGGTGCGATTGGCATCTGCAAGGCTCGCGGGCGATCAATCCACCAGCGGTGAAACCGGGAGCTTGGACCATCTAGCAGTTAATCCTCGTACATGCGCCGAACTGCGTACGAGTAGACGCCCTTCCCCAGATTCACGAATCACCATACGATTCCTCGGTACCTCGTAATCAGTGGACTTGAAGCTGTCGCCAGAACAACCTCATCAACAGCCCACCGCTGGGACTTTTCGCATGCTTCAGCGAGCTATCTTTCGACAAGGCCCTTCAATCACTAGACTCTATTCAAACATGGCCACCATCAATGTCAAAGCTGCAGCCACCGATTTCCTTGACTTTGTCAACGCGTCCCCGACACCCTTCCATGCTGTCAAGTCCGTCAAGGAACGACTGACCTCGGTGGGATTCAAGCAGATCAAGGTCAGTGCAGTCTACCCACACTCCGTTCCACCCTTCTCACTCTTATCTACAGGAAAAAGATTCCTGGTCCTCGACGTGCCTGCCTGGTGGGAAATATTTCCTCACTCGAAATGGATCGACCATCGTCGCATTTGCAATCGGCAAGAAGTGGAAGCCTGGCAACCCCATTTCGATGATCGGTGCGCATACCGATTCGCCGTGTCTGCGCATCAAACCTGTGAGCAAGAAACAGGGCGACGGGTTTCTGCAAGTGGGTGTTGAAACATATGGAGGTGGGCTATGGCATACTTGGTTCGATCGCGATTTGGGTGTTGCGGGCAGAGTAATGGTCAGAGGCAGCGACGGCAACGTCGTTCAAAAGCTGGTCCATATCAAGAAACCCATCCTCCGCATTCCCACACTCGCTGTCCACCTCGATCGACAGGAGACGTTCTCCTTTAACAAAGAAACTCAGCTTTTCCCCATTGCTGGTCTAGTAGCTGCCGAACTCAAACGCCAGGATGACAAGAAGAGCAAAAGCGACACGGAAGAGGAACAGCAAGATAGACCGTTCACTCCTTTGAAGGCAATGACAACAAGACATCACCCTCACATCATCGAGGTGATTGCCGCAGATGCCGGTGTTGCGGCTGAGGAGATTATTGATTTTGAGATTGTGCTCTATGACACTCAAAAGGCATGCTTGGGAGGCCTCTCAGACGAGTTCATCTTTTCCGCGAGGCTGGATAACCTGAACCAAACCTATTGTGCGACGATGGGCTTGATTGATTCATTAAAATCTACGTCGGCGCTCGACGATGAGTCCTCAATACGCCTCATTGCATGTTTCGACCATGAGGAGATTGGCAGTATGACAGCCCAGGGAGCCTTTTCCATGATGCTGCCAGCCATCATTCGTCGACTCTCTGTTCTGCCATCCTCATCATTTGTGGGAGAGGATTCGGAAGAATCTTACGACCACGCCAGCGATCCAGAGTTGTCCACTGCTTACGAGCAAACTCTTTCGAGCTCTTTCCTGCTCTCGGCAGATATGGCTCACTCTGTCAATCCCAACTATGGGGCCAAGTATGAATCCGATCACCGACCAGAGATGAATCAAGGGCCCGTTATCAAGATCAATGCGAATGCGAGATACGCCACCAACTCACCCGGTATAGTACTGCTTCAGGAGGTCGCGCGAAAAGCGGCCAAAGTCATCGACAGCGATCCAGAGGGAGTACCGTTGCAGTTGTTTGTTGTGCGCAATGACTCCAGCTGTGGAAGCACCATTGGTCCGATGCTGTCTGCTCATCTGGGTGCTCGCACGCTCGATCTCGGGAATCCACAACTTTCGATGCACAGCTGCCGCGAAACTGGAGGCGCAGATGATGTTCACCATGCTATCAGATTATTCAGCAGCTTTTTCCAGCATTATTCTGCTCTGGAGAAAACGATTCTGGTTGACTGAGTGGTTTGGAAAGCATATTTGACTGACAAAGGCGACGTTCAGTGGAACACCTGTGTCAGAGGGAGGACGATGCCAAGATTCGTCCATAGTGTAAGAGCTTGAGGCATGAGAAGCCAGCATTCAATCCCGTGCGAGACAGATCCTCGAGGTCGAGCAGCAAGCCGCTCTGCACAAAACATTGATCAATCCTGAACAGGCAACATCCTCGGCTTGGAGGCTTTCAGCATGGTGTCGGATATGCCGGTGACTGTCTGGCTCTGTCTGCGCCTGGCCACAGGATGGATCTGGGCCGCCTAGAACACAGGATTACGAGTTCTCCGTGGCATCCTCTAGGTTCAGGAGCATGTATCAAGTAGACCTTTAGTTTCCTTTAGGCAAAAGGAAGAGGCTGTGAGGAAAGATGCGGGGTTCCGGTGTACATCTCCAACCCAAATATTTTCTCAATGATATAAATTCTGCCCCGAGTAGATGGCCCGCACTGGACCAAGATTGGTATTCCACCTTTGCCCGTCCGACTACTTCTCGCACCCTCCCTGCGACCACCTCCTGGCTCCTGGCGCAGACATGACCACGCCTGAATACATTGCGGGCAACAAGGATGCAATCCGCCAATTCATAGACAGGTTCGATGTCCGTGCCCGCTCTTCGTCGGCGAAGGTTGCTTCAGTCCTGTGCCTGAACTCCATGTTAACGCGAATGTCGTCGGCATAGGTCTTCCTCATCGACTGCGATGGCGTCCTCTGGTCCGGAGACCACGTATTCCCGGGGGCCGTGTCCACGTTGGAGATGCTGCGCCAGAAGGGCAAGCGGGTCGTCTTCGTGACCAACAACTCGACAAAGTCCAGGCAGGACTACCAGAAAAAGCTCGAGGGCATGGGCATCCCGGCGAGCGCCGAGGAGGTGTTTGGCTCGTCATACTCGGCCGCCATCTACATCTCACGGATACTGCCCCAATCGCACCCACAGCTCAAGCAGAAGAAGAAGGTCTTTGTGGTGGGCGAGGCGGGCATCGAGACCGAACTCCAGTCCGAGGGCATCCCTTTCCTGGGCGGGACAGACCCGGCGTACCGACGGGACATCACGCCCGAGGACTACAAGCTCATGGCGGCGGGCGACCCCAAGGCACTCGATCCCGAGGTGGGTGTGGTGCTGGTGGGCTTGGATTTCCACTTCAACTACCTCAAAATGTGCTACGCGTTCCAGTACATCCGGCGCGGGGCCATCTTCCTGGCCACCAACATGGACTCGACCCTGCCGTCGGCGGGCTCGTTCTTCCCGGGCGCCGGGTCCATCTCGGCGCCCCTGATCAAGATGCTGGGAGGCCAGGAGCCCATGGCCTTTGGCAAGCCGAACCAGGCCATGATGGACGCCATCGAGGGTAAGTTCCAGTTCGACCGGAGCAAGGTGTGTATGGTGGGTGACCGCGCCGACACGGACATCAAGTTCGGCATCGAGGGTAAACTCGGAGGTACCTTGGGTGTGTTGACGGGGGTCGCGACAAAGAAGGATTTTCTCGAGGGAGACGTCCGACCCGCGTATTATGTGGATGCCTTGAACGATCTTTTGCAGGTTGCATGATTGTCTTTTTTAACCTGGTCGCCCGACAGATGAATCGTCGCCAGGGTTTCTCTACGAGGAGGGAGAAAAACGAGAACGATTAGATGTCAGCAGGACAACGGCATGCTAGCGGTAGAATCCATAGACTAGATGTTACAACACACGTCCCACACGCACACAGGAGTCTGCCCTTCCCCCATGGCTTTAGACCTACCGAGACAGCGTCAAAGCTCACAGTAGAGTCTCGACACTCTCGTCAAGCGTCTTCCGTCCGTAGCTGTCGCGTCCTGAGTCGCTTCCTCTGTGAAGTTGCTCGCCTTCCCCACCCAAGTGCCAACGTCCTGATTCCCAAAGTAGGCGTAACGCTCGATCCACGGGCACGCCTCCAACCAAGGCACCGCCTCCCTGATGAAGGCCTCGACCTCGTCGACGCGGGCCTCCCCATCGCCCATGCGCGAGCAGGCGAACTCGTTCACCCACACGGGCAGGCCGTACGTGGCGTGCATGTCCTCGAGGAAGGACCTCATGTCCGCGAACCGCGGGCCGTACCAATGCAGCACTAGGAAATCGATCTCGTGCGCGCCGCCCAGGAGGGAGAGGAAGGTGTTCAACCAGGGTTTGCTCCTCGACACGTCGCTGCTCATGCCGGGGCTGCCCAGGCGGAGGCCGAATTTCTTCTTCGCGGGCACGACGACGTCGGTCCACAGCCTGGCCGCCTCGTCGGCGGGCAGGTTGGCCTGGTCGGGGATCTCGGGCTCGTTGAACCCCAGCAGTGCCGAGGTCTGGATCCCGCGGTTCTGCACGATATCCGTCAGGAACGGGTCGAGTTGGTCGCGCGCCGTGGCCGCCGTGCGCACGCAGGGGACCCATTCCACCCCCGCGGGCACAGAGTCCGGGACCCAGCACTCCCAATTGCATATCCACGAGATCTTGCCCGTCCGCGCGTGCGGCTCGTAGAGTGCGAAGTGCGTGCTGGGCTGGTTCCAGGGCCATCCTAGTCCACGCTTGCGGCTGCGTGGATGGTGGGCAGACGCTACGAGGTTGGAGGAGAGGGCTTTGGGTTTTGGTGGAGGGGGTGGAGGTCTGGCTTTCTGCATGGCTTGTTTTGCTCTGGTATCTAGAGAGCACTCGAGGTGTGATAGAGGGGAGGTGTCGTGATAGAATGGTCCGTTCGTTCTTTACAGAAATATGTGCTTGGGACGTACAGTTACAAGGACGAGGATGTGTGGTTGGCGAGTTGAGAGGCTGAACTCAAGTGCCTCTGATGCGTTGTACATACGCAGCCTCGTCATTTTTCCCTCACCACTGACCATCCATCACATATAAACCACCTATCACGAGCACGAACGGGCGACATGGAAACCCCCTCCTGGCCAGACCCCAAATCCTCCAAGCCGGTTCGTTATTTCGCAATTGGATCGAACCAGTCAGGACCGGTCATCTGAGGCTTGGTGACCACTCGCCAGATACATCTCTCCCTCCCGCGAAGCCAACGTGAAACGTCCACAATCTGTACCTCATCACTTGCCATTTCGGAGCTGAGGAAAATATCAGGGATACTTTCCTTCGATGGACACAAAAATATGGGTGGAGAAGGAAAACGATATCCGGTTGTCGCGGCGCATCCCGGTTGTCTGTGGATGTTTAAATCAACAACCTCATGCTCTCAACGATCGCCTTCGACCGCCTCTCTCAGTTGTGGTCTGTGTCAACTTCGATCTATGCACTAGGAGGGAATTATTGTCCTTTAAATCAATCTCAAGAGCAGATGGAATGAATCAGTAGACTCTTGTATGGTTCGCCATGTAAGGTGTACAACTACTCTCTGTCCTGTTGTCAGCCTCGCCCACAAGATGAATACTGCCGGTACCGACCACCACCATCCACACATATATTCTCCAAAGTCAAAACATAAAATCTCTTGCTCGTCATGAGTGTTAAAAAGGTCTACGCGACGGACCTTGACTTGAACCCCCTTCCCATCTATCTGGCGGACAAAAGTGCAAAAAACTCAGACTTGTGAGAAAACCACCTGAGAGAGGAGTTTTTTTTTGTATGGCATTCACTTGGCTCGATCAATGCGATGCTCCCACCTATAGCTTCTCACAGAGCTCCTTAACACGCTCAAAGGCCCAAGTCACTATGATCCTGGACGCGGTCGCAAGACTATGAATTAGGGAGTTACCACCACCGCACACACCTCGGTGTGAGGGTGGATGGTAGAGCTCCTACATAGCCAATGCTCCGGCCCAGTCACTTCTAACATGAGACTTTTTGCGAACTAAGGAGATGAGGAAGACTGTGGACAAGCCTTACTGCAAACATTGGTTTCGCTGGTCGAATGTGATGACACTTTTGGCGTTTGTTATATATATGGTGGAGGGATGGCTATGTGGATCTTCTGTTGGGTCAAGTGATCAAGTGATACATACTAGCACTATGTGTCGATGTGACTTGGCGAGGGAAGTGTGTGATGCGCGGAATATGGCTTCTCACAAACGTGAGGTTTTCGATGGACGAGGCTGAGAGCAACTTCCACCACCATCACCCAACCAAGTCATCCACACAGGACTCAGGACACAGCAGGCTATGCAAGCCGGACTCTCACCTCCTGATGAGATGGTTCTGGATGGTATTCGTGGTGTTTCCACAAGCCATGAGCCATGGGGACAATATCAATGACCTCCAGCGTCCCCGAATCACTCTTGGACACAGCCAGCGATCAACCATGTCCCTGTTTACCAAGCCATTTTCGTTTGATCGAGACAAGGAACGACCATCGACGCCTCCATTGCGCCGAATTGGCAATGCCTACTCTGCATGACTACACCAACAACCGCCTGACACCTCTTCGTCACCCTAGGGGACCTACTGTTTGTCCACACGCGCCAAACCTGGTGAACAGCCGCAAGGCATATATGCCAGAGGAGACCCCTATATCCACAACGATGGATCCTTCGCCAGAATCGTCCTTTGGTCCTCTGGACCAACAGCCCGTGCAAAATGAAAGCCCAACAGCCCTGTTTTCCAAGGGACTACGATGTCAGGCGTCGATGCTCAACAAGAACCACCCGCACATTCGAGGAATCAACCCAAACCACTATGAAGAAGCTACCAGTCTTTGGGCGTTTTCCAGGTCCCGAGGAAAGCCACGACTCTTATTGGAATGTTATCAGAAAGGAGGATGCATCTAGGACAGCATCGTCATGCCCCAAGAGTTCCCCATCGCCGGCGTCGAATATTCCCAGCCTCGTCGTGTTAGTTTCCGTATCCGACGAAGAGAATGCTCGCGCGTCGCCTATTGGATCTGAACGGAGCGATACCTTGGCTGCGACCGGGCTGCACGGACCACATGCGACGAAATCTCCCGCATCAGGCTGGACGGATGAGCAGTCTACTGCAAAGACCACAGAGTATGGGATCAGGGAGGACGAGGAGGAGGGAGAGGAGAAGGTCCACGAGGACCTTGTCCCAAGCGTGGCTGGGTGCCCCGTCCGGGCGACTGCACGCAGTGTTTTACCGACGTTTTCGTCTCCCGAGCGTCTGGAACGCCGAGTCTTTGTTCCATGGGTTCGATATGCAGGTCCTCACGAACGTGTGGTTCCGCGACAAAGAACCACATGGCTCGACCGCGCCGTTGATTCCGACATCTCGACAATATCGGTTCCTCTAAATACGAGTCGGGAGTTCCAGTGGACTTCTCAACACGCGCACTCACGATGCAAGTTCTTTTTCCCTCGAGAGGCCGGAGTCGTTGTCGCAGGTCCTCCCAGGTCCTCTTCTCTCAAATATACAAGAAGGAGGTTTCGTCGTGCTAGGTTGACTCGATCATGCAGTTCGGCATTGCCATCGAGAGTTCATCCTTTGGTCGATTCCTCCCACGTTCGCTATCATAGTCAAGCCACACCAGCACGAACAGTAGTCGCTGCTGCTGTATCACCAGATACAAGACTACAAGACAGTCATCAGGCCATCCACGATCCAGCCACTATCGCCGTCAATAACAACAGCACCACCACACCTCCAAAAATGCCGAGCTACACCATGACCTGCTCCCCGATGTCCCCATGCCTGCTCACCCTGTCGCCGGTGGTGAGGATGCCGGCTGCACCGCCCCCGACCCCGGCTCAAGGCATTCAAAAGCGACTCTCTCGCAGCCAAGTGGACGAGGCGGACATGAACATCGACGACATCCTCTCGGCGCTCCCCATCGGCATACCCATCCCCTCAGCAAAAGGAAAAGAGCGCTGTCTGTCACCTGTTGAGACAATCCCCCCAACCCCGCCCTCTTCACCATTTTATGGTCGTCGAAGCCGAAGCTCGAGCACCTCGAGCAGCAGTGCGACGAGCAGTGAAGACGAAGACCGAGGCGGCGGCGTCTGGCTCCGACGCGACCCATTCGTCTCCATTGTTTACCCGGGACGAGGCGAGGCATCGCAGCCCCGCCCAGCGGAACCTGACAACAAGCTCCTCGCCGCGCTGGTGGAGGACAGCATGCCACACGACTCTGTCGACGACGCCGCCCTCGCCGACAAGGAACCCGACTTCGACGACGAAGACCTCGTCACGGTCGCCCTGGACGACCTCACCAGCTACCGCCAAACGGCGAAGCTATGCCGGAAGCACCGCGTCCACATGCCCTGCGAGCGGGGCAAACGCGCCCGCGACGTCGACCACGGGCCCCTGCGCCAGCGCCGCGTCACCCGCCAAATCGACCTCCAGCAGGGCGCATGGGTCGACATCGAAGCCCGCGGCCTCTCGTCGCAGTACAACCAGTTCGGCGCCGTTGGTCAGCGCGTGACGGCTCGCGCAGTCCCGCCTCCGGTCCCGACCGTCCAGAACCACGAGAAGGTCGTGTGGAGGTCTCGCGGATGGACCGTGGTGCCGCACTCGGGGCCGGCGACGGCACTGCTGAAGGTGAAGGCGCAGCCGTGGTTTCCCGAGGACCAGTATGGCTGCTAGAGGGGGATGTCACCATTCCGCCTGAAGCGACTATGGGAGGTAGACTGTGCAAAGGAGTGTAATAGGAGTGAGAGTGAGAGTCACGAGGGGCGGATATGTGTGTGTGTGTGTGTGTGTGTGTGTGTGTGTGTGTGTGTGTGTGTGTGTGTGTGTGTGTGAGAGAGAGAGAGAGAGAGAGAGAGAGAGAGAGAGAGAGAGAGAGAGAGAGAGAGAGAGAGAGAGAGGGAGAGAGGGAGGAATGGAGGAATATCCTTGAAAGGACAGAAATGTTAGAGGAAGCAAGGATATGCATACGCGCCCTTGAACCAAACAACCAGCCCAGGCCAGGAAAAGGGATGGTATTCCCACCTACCTATACAGGGACATAGGTCACTACAACAACAACAATACAATAACTGTGCCAATGACAATGACAATGACAATGACAATGACAATACCTTGTAAGATACAGCCCACGGTCGTAACATTTCCACCTTACCCTCTCTCCCTCTCTCCATCCATCCCTTGACGAGTCGATGACAATCGCAGAGACTCCATGTACATACATATACGTGTTGTTATATACATGTATTGATTAATTATGGTCAAGCATACCTACCTCGACTACCTAACATACATACATACATAGGCAGAGGACGAGAACAGAAACATGGAACAGGCTCAGTCACTTAGTTTATTCAGTTTTCAGATTTCAGTCCTCGGTATCAAATTTTGATGTCAAAACTGCGTCCAATGAATATCGAGTAATTTAGCCAAAAAAGTAGTTCATGACGCGCAAAACAAAAAGGGTATCAGTATCAGTCAAGCATCTACAAACGTTACAAGTAAGTAGGTCAGGTCAATCAAGACAATCTCATCAATCAACAAGACTCCAGCCAGCCAGGCCCCGTTGTCGAAACTCCGAGACACTAGAAATCTCATCTTCTTCACCGTGTCGAGTTCAAAACGTCCTCCTCGTCCTGGTGGTCCCCCCATTCCCCTGGACGGCGGGTCACAGCGCTTGTTGTGTCGATGCAAACGAACATTCCGACGTGTTCTTTTCCTGGCATCCTAACTATTCCAATCGCGTAATTCTTTCGCGGACAGACGCCTCTATCTGCCACTTGCTGCTTCGTAGTCTGGTGCTAGCTCGTGC